CATTCAGCAAATCGCTGCGCCGGCCCGTTTTTGGCGATGAGCCGAGACGCGTCGGCGTGAAATGTCGTTCGCGATTGATTCACTTTTATTTTATTTGTAATTTTTAATTAATTAGCGGTAATTATGGTGAGTGAATGGGTTATATTTGTATTTATCACAATAATGATTGTTCCGCACGTTGTGTTTGTTAAGCTGCCCTAATTTCATGCTGATCAGAATCAATTTCGAGACGTTCAAAACATCGTTTTAAGGAATTATTTCTGTTATAAATTCTAAATCAACGTTCGGTTTGCAGTTTGTTCAATGAGTATTTTTGTTAGAATCGCGGTATTTTTTAGCCGCAGGCTTAGATTATTTGCCATTCCTAACTTTACCATTATTATTTGAAATTATTTACCATTTACCATTATTTACCATTTACCATTACTATTTACCATTATTGTTTACCAATTTTACCATTTACCACTCTAGCACCTGGTTTACCTAGTTTGTAACGATGACCCATGTGCTGCGAAATATTGTTGTGTGATATCTGCGATATGTTTGAGGTTGAGCTCCGGTCTCCGAAATTTAATGAATTAGGATGCTGTTTTCCTAATGTACGTTCTTGATGGAGTTTTCAGTATTTATATTCGTCATTTCAGAATTTTCGGTGGATCGACTCATTTTATGTGTCCGGAATGAGGCGCTGAATGTACATCAAGATAAATAAACTCTGAAGGTTCTGTTTAATGAGTATTTTTGTAAGAATCGTGGTATTTTTTAGTCCTACAATTAGAACTAGATTATTTCATCTCATCATTTGATAATATTATCTGCTTCTGTGATTACCCTCAACTCGAATTTCGGTCTCTGTTTTATTTGATTTAATGAATCAAAATGTAATTCTTTTGATTTGCATTCATAATGAAGTTATCATTATCTTCGATTACTTTTTGTTCAATTCTCTATGATATTTATGTATGTTTGCAGAATTTTTTATAGTGTTATCAATATTTCCATGTGATTTTTTTAATTGTTGAATGTTCCTGATTGATAAAAGTTGACTGAGATGTTCTTAATTGGTAAAAGTTGAATATATTCAATTAGATTAATTTCTGATGTTTATTATAAAATTAAAAGCGTGTTGTGACTGTATTGTGAAAATAATATTGTTTACAGTAATGATGTATATGTGTGTTATAATAATAAAGATTAATGTTAAAACTGGTGTTGTATTCACATGGAAACTTTCAACGAAATAAAATATTGAACAGGACATCGATTCTTCGTTGGTTTGACCGTTCGCTCATTGATCACTTGCCAATCAACAGCGTCTAATAAGTAAACAGTCGAAGGCCCGAAGAAGACCTGAAATTA